CCACATTTCAAACGCGCAAACTAGTTATAATAACCGGCCGACGAACTTTGTACAAATATCCGGCTTGACGCAGTGTATCGTTAATCCATTGGCGAATCGTAATTTCGCTGAAACTACAGTCGCACGAAGCCAGTAAGCGACGATAATGTACCCGGCATATTTTGATTGCAATTAGACAACGAGTTCACCATTATTTCCGTGAAATCGATACAACGTGAAAGAAGTAAATGCAAAAGTTATTAATATTTTTTAAATTAAATGCTTTATCTTTGTGTAAATAATAAACAGTTTAAATTTAAAAAACTCTTTTAATGAATTTTGACATACGTATTGTAACGAAGTTATTAAAATTTTTAGCCTTTAAGAAATTTATTTTGCCGATTATAATTAAAATGATATTTATGATTGATGTAAAGTCTAATTTATGAATGTTATATAGGCCATTAAGAATCTATCAATTTCTTTTATATATGTTATTCAAATTTATAGGTTTTTCAGATCGCTGAATACTAACCTGGTGTTAGAATTTAAATTGTATAAAAAAATCTTTCTATATGAATTATTTCAAAAATTTGAAAAAATTTTAATTTTGATATTCGCCAGATTAATTCTGCCGTTTGGAATTGTATCAAATAAAAATCATAATTTGAATAAACTTACAAAATATTTTATATCTTTAATGACACAACTTTAACAATAAATATTAATCTATATTAAATATAATTCTCAATATATTAATCATAAATATTTTATATTCAACACCTAAAAATTGCAAAAAACTATTGTTCTTGTTCTTGGATGAACAATGTAGTCAGATAAAATTTCATTATTAGTATTAATAATATTAATTAATCAATATTAATTTATCTCAATATTAACTATTAATATTAATTATTAATATTAGTTTGGTACAAAATATATTTGGCTTCCTATTTCCTCTCATCAAATAGATATAAACTTCTATTAAAATGCGAATGGAATATTACCCTCCCATCGCACATTACGAGTACAATTCTATTTTATCAGAAAAATAAAAACCATCTCAAAAAGCGCGTTACTTTCCACGAAATAAGCGTGAACTTCACCCCGGGTCCGTTTACCGTTCTAGTCGATAGGGTCTTTCGCTCAGTTAGTCATGTTGCACTTTTATACGACATTGTACGAGATCGTCGTCCTTTTACCAGCGACGGCCGATGGATTTCGCGTGACACGAGCGATCGTTGCGGACGCCTTTGATCGGCCATGCGACGTTTTTTTAATCGTGTTAAACGTTCCGTCGTTACCCTCAATCATCCAACGACGAGCTCCCGCTCGTCAAGTCTCTTTCCTCCATCCCCGTCTGTCCTATGTCGGTTACGGGCGCGGATTCGACCTTCTCGATTCATTCCCCTCCCCCTCCCCCTCTTCTCTCTTTCTCTCTCTTCTTTCCGTGAGAGACGCGCGACATCCGTTGTTTAATTAAAATCAGATCAAAATGACGTCTTCCGGTGAGCGCGAAGCCCATGCAACGCGACGGCTTTCAATTAATTCAATGTCGGTCCCGCTGCACGATACGCAAAACGATAACGACATGCCGCGCCGACATCCCATGAACGTTGCGAAAGAATTTACGAAGATAGCAGGACCAACCCTCCTCTCTTTCGAGCAACGAATCGCATCAGCTATGTATGTATACACCTCTTGGTGACATTACTTTATTTAAAATAAACTCTTTCTCTGCCGCGCATATAAAATACCTTTGGTTTAATAATATGGTTTCCAAAATTTACGCTTTGCGATTCATATTCAGACCTCGCGCACGATAAAAAAAAGGGAGTGGTAGGTGTAATGCGCTTTCCATTGTTTACCGAATAATTTTCAGGCGGGGAACGTTTCGGTTCGAAACAGCTTTTTATCATTGCAAAGTATTGCAGATATTGGCGATATTGCGAAACAGTATTCGTGATTGTTTATTGTTCCGCATGTGCCATGTTTATGTATCGATATGTATGCGTACGTATTAAATTAATACGCAAGTATTAAGCTACGTCTATCGATTAGATAACTATATCGTTCTTTGCCTTACATAATGCAGATACTCGAGACGAGCACACAAGAATTGTTTGCGTGCGATATTGCGACGATGTGCAGGAAATTTACATTAACGTCTTTTAGTTCGTCTCGTGTATATACGGCGTGTGCGATCGCATAACGCGATATTATCAATCGAAGCGCGCTCAAACAATATGTGACGATTGCAATTTTATTATCGGCGGCGCGCTTTCATGCTGGTATGTCAATATTAATAAAGAAAAAAAAGAATAAATAGAAAATTACTATGTTCGTGTGTCAATATTAATAAAAAATATTTATCAAATAATTCGAATACGGACGCGTGCAAAAAGGCGACGAGTGGAAAATATGAAATTTCCTCTATATTCCGAAATTACTCCAATTGTACCAATTATTTCGCTTTATCGGCGCAGATATCGTAATTCGTTATGATTCTATTAGAGAGCCTCTAATCAGAGCTTGATCATAGGAGCATATTATGTTGTAAAATTCTACGAGTGAGAAAAGATATCATTTCCTTGCTTTTAAAGTAATACAATTTTTTAAAAATCAAGTTTTTCAGAAAAAGGGACAAATTATTTTTCAACTTGACAAAAAATTGATCACTCAAATAATATCAGCAAAAAATATTTGATTCTTAACATGATCCAATATAATTTTTATCGTTTTTGTTTCAATCACTCCTTCGAATTGTAACAATTTTAACGACTTTTTAAAAACACGCTTTTTGAATTGTAATTTTAACGACTTTTTATAAAGTTAAATTAGTTTATTTGTGACGATTGATAGAGTAATGTTTACTTACAGAAAATTATTGATAAATCAAATAATAGCAAAAAATATATTCTTTTTTAAAACCATTTTTTTGTTGTGATTTTTACGATTTTTATGAAGTTAAATTAATTTACTTTTAATAATTGATAGGATAATGTTTAACTCATTTATAGTAATAACTAGAAAATTCTGTTTTTTGAATTATACTTTTAAAATAAGGGCGAATAAAATATGTGCTATTTCATCCTAACACAAATTGACAAAAAATGTCGGAATCAAGAGTGGCCCTCTTATGGCTCTGATTAAATCGTTTTTAGATTCTCACAATCTGCAAGAGAAAAAGGGAAAAAAGTATTCTCGCGCCGGTGATCGTGACATCTGAGATTTATCTTTTCGGGCATCATTCGGATGCGAGAGACAAAAATCGCACTGTTTAACTTCCGGGATGAGAACTGGTTGGGTCGTCGCGTCACTTAGTATGCATCTTTGTCTCCCGGCATTACTCGCGGCTATCTCTTAAATCCTGTACGCAGTTACGGCGCTGGGACATCTCGAATACGAAATCGACGAGATTGCGCACACTATGGGGTGCCTCCTGCCTCTCCCCGTCATCTCATCCACGTTGCACGGTCCGATAATCAGAAATCGGCAGGGGAGCTGATTACTCGCGGAGGGTGAGAAGCGAATCCCTAGGGCGTGTGCCACACGATCAACGTAGCGTCGATTGCTCCAATTCGCAATGGAATGTTTTGCGGATCGAACGCGGGTAATTCACCAGACACGTTTCTCCCACAACTCGTTCAAGTAACGGCCGAAGTTGGAAAGTTAAAGTCGCGATATTGGATTATGAGGTATCGACAGCAGAGGATGAGTGACGGTTTCTTTACATCCGCACATCTAAACGCAAAGATTATAAGGGCAACAGCACACGATAGATGTCAACTGTTATGTATTTATGGAAAACAATTAAACCTGATTTACTCCGGAATTTCTTTAACTGTTAGGTATTCGTAAGTTTAATATACTTTAAATTTATGTATTTTTGCTTAAAGTTAATGTGAACAATTCATGTTCATCGAACGATTATTTTTTTCATACTAGAGGTTATAATTCAAGGAGAGATTATGTACACAAAATTATGTAACTTATATCCATTTTTGCCAATATTGTTTAATATTAATATTGGTAGTTTTTCATCTTTTTTAGGAATTAAAAAAGATGAAGAATAAGTTAAAGTTACTCTACATTGATAGAAATTAATCATACAAACACATAAGATTACGTAACTTAAAATTATGTAAGCTTGTAGAAAACATTTGTTACAATAATTTTCCACAATATAGTTGAAGCAGAAATTTGGATTTATTGGGCTTACCGATTAGGTTAAAATTATATTGTATTTATGTGCGCGATTATATACACTGCCGTGAAATTTCCATAAACACAACAGTCGGTTGATACTTTATCTATTGTGAGTTGCTGCTTTAAGTAACTTCAATCCTTGCTCTGCGTTAAAACTGAACACGGTCTTTATACTTATTACTTGAGCTAAATGAGGCAACACTATAAGAATAATTCTGGATGTTCTATCATAGAAGTATTTTTGTAAAGTGAGATATTTTTTTTTTAAGTGATCATAAATCTGATTATGTTGAAAGCGCGAAGTCTATATTGTGATTTTAATGACAGACTCCGATATTTATTTTGTACTTCTCGTCTCTCTCGATTATTTGTTACATTAATATATTTAATTACATACAATATAAACTCTGCGTAAGGAAAGCTTTTGGATATATCGTTTAAATATCAACCTTTCATTCTTTCAAAATAAGTAGCCATCTTTTGAACTTTAGAAGCAGCCTCCTACTATATTCAGATATTAAATGCCAAGTATAAAGTGCCTTATTTGCATTTCTATTTTCTGGTGCAAGAAAGATATAAAATAATGTGATAAAAATTCCAGGCTATTTATCAATATCCCGCTGTTTCCTTCGAACCATCTTATCCGCTGCATTTCAACTCAGAAAATAAGTACACGTACACATACACACACACACACACACACACACTTACACGAACACACGCGCGCGCGCGCTACACTTAGATTGTAACCCGAAAGATTTATCCTTCGACCACACCGAACAAGACGTTCACTCGAAAAAGGAAGCACTCACCCTTGCTGGATATTGCTGCCGCACCGATGAATTGTATTGCCAGGACAGCACCAACCAGAAGAAACTTTCCAGAACCACCCCGTTTCGCCGCGACCGATCCGCACTTGACACCGGACGAATCCTTCGACGCTCGGCGATCGCCGATTCTCACCCTGCTCATCCGAGGGTTGTACCGACGTGATCTTCTGTCGCGATCATCGCCGATGCCGCCTGATCGAAATATCGCCGTGCTCATCATGATTATAACTGATCGCTGTTTAAAATCCTCGATCAGGTTGCTCCGATCGAGAGAAAGAAATGTCACTGTGCACTATCTCGTAGATCCCCTCCGCGTAATCCTTCAATCACTCAGAGACCAAGGGTTTGAGCGGCAGAACAATCTGACACAATCACACAATCCGGACGGAACAGACACAGGACCGCACCACGGGGAGCATGAATGCTTCCGTTGTCACAATTGGTGCCTCTGCGAGCTGTCCCAGCGCTGCAGGGCGCACGAGAATGAACCAGTCACCCCCTCCGGTTAACACTATCTCGACGAACGGCCGACAGGTCGGCCGCTGTCAAAACAAAACTCCGGAACGTCACTTGCAACTATCGTGAGTGGCGCTACACCTGGCGCGCCTTCGCGAGCCCGCTCGGTTCCACCTGGAACTAACCGCGCCGGGCGTCTCCGGAGGGCAGGTCCTCCCCCATAACGGCGACAGGTCTCTCGTCGTGCCCTGGTCGAATGGGGCGCTACGCGCGGTAAGGCCAGAAGAAAGGGGGAGACGAAAGAAAAGAAAAAAATAGGCCGAAGAGACGCCTGAAAACCAGCCCTTTTCAATTCAGTCTTGGTCAGTTCTCGATTTCGAAAGATTTCGAAAAGCGCTCTCCCGATTTTGCGATTTCGGCGAAACACGACTGCACGCGGATACTGTTTTCTTCCGTGATAGAGAAGAGAGGGGGAGAATCAACGCCAAAGAGAGGGAGGGGGAGGGAGAGAGGAAAGTAACTTGCGCGCGGGTGGGCGGGTCCCACCGTGAATCCTCGAGAGGGTTGATGAGGCTGCGCGGGGGCGGTCGGGTAACGGCTCTGGAAAACGAGAGAAAGAGAGAGAGAGACAGATATTCGATGGATAAACAGAGAGAGAACGATAAAGAGATAGAAGAGAGATTGCGAATATACACTGAATTTTCGTGGTCGGAGCCGCGTGTTAAAAACCCCCAACGCAACGTGCTGCCGCGTCGAGACGCCCGGCGCTACTGAGGCGAAGGAGAGCCCGTTCGTTGCTGCCGCTACGCGAAGCCGGGAAGGGATGAGAGAACGCGGGGGTGCGGAGGGATGATGGCAGCGCGGCGCGCCTCGGATATTCTCGCTTCTCTCCGACTCTCCTCTCTCTCTCTCTCTCTCTCTCTCTCTTCTCTCCTGAACACCTCCTCCGCTCGTTTTTCCGCGCTCTCCCCATTGTTTTATATATCGAATTTTATATTTCCTGGCTTGATCTTATTTTATTCCGCGTGAAATTATTTAGATTGCTCCACACGCAGGCCGTATGAACTGGCACTTTCGTGTTTCTCCTCACGCATTTCTCGTTCACTCGCAATTCTGTTTAATTTGCATGCTTGCTATATTCCTTTCTCACTTGTCGTTCTTGAGGAATTTGATCCCACGATAGTTGGCGGATTCTTTCTCCCTTTCGCTCTTTTCATCTCATTCTCATTTACCATGTCGGACGTAGATCGAAACAGGAAGCGCAACGCGATGCTATTTAAAAAAAAACTTCTCGACCGTGGCGTACAAATGCATTTGGTGGAAAAGAATTTGATTAAACGCGACGGATTGCTTTATGCATTCCGTGACCGAAGCTGAATAAATTTTCGTTAGAATGCACGGCATTTGAACGCATCCCCATGCGTGCGGACAAACCGCAACTGTTTTGCATATTATTATTTTACCTCTCTTCCACCCCTGCCTTTCCTCCTCCCAGTTGCATGGAATCTGATAGAGAACGAACGGGACGACGTTTCGCAAAAGCGAAATTAATGCACAGCGACAATGTTGCCCGCACAGAAAATCGTCCAATAATTTGCGGACCGCTGACAACGATAGTTGCACTCGATGCCGCCTATCGTGATTGACAGTCCTTCTTCCTCTTTGGACCTCCCCCACCCCCTCTCCTCATCTCCCTCGCTGCATGTAACAATGTCGATAATTAATCGTCGACGTGAGCGTTAATTAAACACATGACAGATACAGAAAGCGGGAAATGAGACCAAGTTGGCGCGATTCGTGACGAATTCAATAGCGGTTGTTAGCTACTCGAGAGAGCGCGCGACGTCGACGCACTTCCGTAATTTTTCCGTAATTATTCGTAACGATGTCGCACCGGCGAAAAAGCGTTGTGGGGGACAGTAATCAGGGAGCGATCGAAATCGGATTATCGGCATCCGATCAATCGACAATCACGTCCGGCTACGGTCGCTCGCGCCATGTATACATTGCGCATTGCGCGTGTTGACATGAATCCGACGGATAGCAGATAGATAGCTAATTTCGCTCCGTGATTCGCGTCTCGAGCTCGAGCATGAATAAACAATGTCCGACTGCGCGATGATAATGAATTAAACGACCCGCAATAAGTCACATTAATTTCGCGTGAGTAACGTTGATGAGTACTACATTCCATTTATAAATACACTGAATATTTCTTAAAGGGATATTCTCGCTTTTAGTACCATTTTCTAACCATTTTTAGGAAATGTTTTAAATATAACAGCCATAAATTTGAAATTTGTAGAAAACATTCAAATATCAAAGAATAAATGTGACAAATTTCAAATTTATGGCTGTTATATTAAAAAAAAAAAATTCTTAAAAAAAGGTAAAATGTACTAAAGCGTACTAAAAGCAAGAATATCTCTCTAAAACGTATTTGCTGTTCTATTAGTATTAATTTTATCTTAAATGCCGATGTATGTATCTATTTTAGCTTGCCTGTGATACGTGACATATTTTTTTACATTTACAGTACAGTTGAAAAATTTATATTAAATTTTTTATCCTAAATAAAATTTGTGTCTCATATAGTCCACTTACAAAAATTTGTGTTAATTTAACAAAAGTTTAATATATTAGAAAGTAACACAAGAATTGACGTAAAAAATTAATACAAAAAAATGTAACCCTTTGACAAAAATTGCAAACAAATTGTGGAAGCATAGTTCTTCAATAAAAATTAACACTTACAATTATATTAATAGCATCTATAATTTATGTAAATTAATTATATTCCTTTTTTATTTACTTATCTTAAAATTTATGTTTTAAAACTATGTTATTTTGATGTCATTTGTTTATCCACAGTGTTATCTTAGCACCACAGAATTTAACACAAAGTATTCAAATAACACAATTACATTATGTCAACACTCGAATATCTCAAAAACAAAAAAATTTTAACGAGTCCAAATTTTGACAAAAATACAAAATTTGTTTATTGTGTATAATTACTACTGTTTAAAGATATTTTATTATATAAAACGTCTGTCGTTGAGAAATGTCATACATGCACTTTTAAATGGAAAGGATGGTTTATTATTATACGGCGTTATGTATATATCAATTCTAGATTTATTACTAGGTAAACGACAGGTACTCTAATAACGCACCTGAGGGAGAAAACGTCAGACGGAAATGACTCTCAGGTCGTTTGTTTCCGTTTCAAATATTAAAGCGTCCAATTAGTCCGATGGTAACGCGAACTTGGGAAACCGCCGTGTACTCGGCCAGTGCATTAAGCTTTGTCCGCGTACTACAAACACTGCGGTCGCGAGAGTGCAGAACCAAAGAACAAAACGAGCGACGGTGTATACTGGGTGCATCAGAAATATTCCGCATAGTTTTCTCCTTCTCCCCTCTAAAAAAAAAAAGAACTATAGACGCTACAAGCGGAACTGAAAAAATAACCGCTATTCTATATTGTCACAAGCATCAACTGTTTTTGTTTTGTCAAGCGATTAAAAACTAAAAGCCTTTGTGAAACAAGTGTTACGAATGAAAATAAGTGATAAAATCTTATTCTTTAATTAAAAGCAGATTTAAAAAAAAATCTTCCTTTATAGAATCTAGTTGAATCCTTCACAACTGATGATGGGATTTATTGGACCCTCTCAGTTACAGTTTTTATGTTATATACTCAAATTTTTGAATTTTTTTGATTATTAAAATAAACTTAATATTAACATGTACACATTCTTTTTTAAACGAGTTGTATCACTTTGCTTTTTTGATATTAATTAGTACTTTTTAGTCAATATAACACGGGTCTCACAGAGCGTCAGTAACTGCCATATATCACAGATTTTGATGTCAACTTTTAGAGAGTTTAAATATATATTTGTTGAAATATTTAAAAACATCTCTGAAGAGCTGTATGTGACGTCTAATCGAAAGAAATGTGTCAAAAGGTATGACGCACGATAGCGAATTTATGAGGAAAAACTGCGAGTTTTGGAACACTCTGCATCACAGGATGTATACGGGACGACATCCGATCTCACGGAAAATCAAAACTCGGGGTCGCGTACGCTTTGCCAGAGCTTAATGCGCGTCGCCCGTTTCCGCCACGCTACTTGGAAACGCTAATTCTCGTCGTCGTGCACCCGTCGTAGAGAGAAACACAGAACTACGATGGTCTCCGAAGAGAATAGAAAAGAGGAATGAAATATTATACGAAACCGCGGTCGTGGATTGGAATGGACGATGAATTTCGTGGACGGAAAAACGAGCAGCTACCTCCATCTGGTTACGTCACTCGATAAACGCAACATTCTTTGTAACGAATTTTTCTGAATAATTTTCTGAATAGCGAAATACTTTCGAATAAATTATATCGTCGTATTATATTTGTACGTACAAAATGGAATATGGTCTTAATGACATTTAGTAAGACATCCATCACAAATTGTACACTGATTGTGAGAGGAAAGTTTTTGATATTTATGATTATAATTACATGATACTATATATAATTATGGCATACTCTCTCTATAAAATCATCGTCACTGAAGCCACACTTCATAATTTCATTATTCATAATTATTACTATTACAGATAATGTTAGAAATAATATTAATATTTATAATTGTATACAAAAATATATATAGTTAGCATCGGAAATGATTATATATAAATAGTTATTACTATAAAAATGCTTGCAATTACTATAGTTTATAATGTTTTGAATTACTGGTAGTTGCAATAATTTTTATGATAATATATAATAACTATATTTATAGTCATTTTTTGTACGAACTGTACATTTCTTACAGCAGTAATAATCATAATTATAAATTCAAATTCTAGGATGACATTTTTCACAATAAATTCTCTTTAGTGTTTTAAAGATGCTTATTAGCATCGGTATTATTAAAATTGCTTGTCAATTTAATTTGTGACATTACTCCAACTTTAGTTTAGGACTGTGTTTTAAGATTGATAAACAATCGACTTGCAGTTTTCTTGAACTAGAAAATGTATAAGATACACACAAAAATATTATTAAGCACCATGACGCAAGCTTTGATGAAATATGATCTTCTTCGCTTATTTGTGTTTATAAAATATTAATTTCCGTATTGTATGTTTTCGTAAAACATGTAATAATTATATATACATAAATTAATATTTTATACAACTATATACTTTGTACAAACTCAGTCACCTATTTCTACTTGTTTATTTATGTGTGTCTGAACTTTATTCACCTGATTCTACTGCCCACTGCGAAAGAGAAAGTTTCTAAGTGGAGCATCAATTTCGTCTGAGAAAATCTGTAATTAAATATAAATAAAGACGAATCTCGGGCACTCTATATAATATATCAGACGCGAAAAAGTTAGGCTTTTCTTGGAGTTTTGATCTATTAAAATATTAGTGACTTTCTGAAGGTCGGAAAAATCGAAAGATGGACGACAACAAATCTGATATCTCTTTTTATTTCCTTGTTTTATTTAAATATCGCTTAAAAATATTATGTAAAAATAAAAGTTTTCCGGTGAAAGTGAAGGAAAATGGAACGAGAATTCTTTCGTACGATGTGTGAACTCGGCACGCGAGACGCGTCGTCGCGATGTAGCAAAAGTTTGCGAATTACACGTTGCTGCCAGATTCGCGTAGACGTAATCAACCACCGAGGCGAGAAAAACGCGCGATGTAACTTCACAAGAGGGACGACGATCGATC